GTTTTCTCCCTCCCCTTCTCTCTTTTTATTTTATTTATTAATTGTGCACGCTCCCTTGTGTACGTGTGTGTGTCTGTAATCAATCTGACTGCATTGTGCTTTGTGTGTGTGTGTGTGTGTGTGTGCAGGGTGATGACGAAGATGTGGCAGAGATGCAGCCAGGACAGGAAACACAATCTGATCCTGAAACACTCACATGCATACATCTACCACCCTGTTCCTATTGCGCTCCTTCTCTCTCTCGCGTGCACACAACACACAGACACACACAGACACACACACACACCTCAGGAGCTGAATAGTCTCGTTTTGGTCACGGATAAAAAACAAAAACAAAAAAAATAAAAATCCATCAAGTCATTTACATCATCACAACACCAGAGGTCACCATTCCACACAGAACCAAGACATCAAACCAAAGAGCTAAAGATTCATATTTATCGGTATATCATATATTACTGTGCTAATGCAGGACTTTTTCAGTAGATATAAACTCTCCATGCTTATAATGTACACATACCATACTATGATTCATTACACAGTTGGTTTTTCATTCTGTATTGGTTTTGTTTCTTTGCTCGCTCTGAGCAGAAGAGTTCTTTAAAGACTCACATTTTGATTGCAGTCTCCTCCTTTTTGTTGCATTTCTTCATCTCTCGTCATTTGTGTGTTTGTTCTATTTTCTCTCCTCCATCACTTGTCTTTGGTCCTTTCCCCAACCATTTCTCTTTTAGTCTCTCTATCTATTCCTCTTTCTTGCTCTCTCCTTCTCTTGCCAAGTCTGTGCGGGACTGCGGTGCTGCTCCGTTATCATCAGGAGACGAGAGGAAGAGGAGGGGATGGCGCAGCGACAGACTGACGGACGGATGACAGGGAGGGGTGGAGGGGAATGATGAGAGAGAAGGATGAGGAGAAGGTGCGAGATAGAGAGACGTGTTGCCCGTTGTGCCAACTGAGTCACTTCTGATGCAGCGTTGCTAAGGAGACGCACCGGCTGGTTTCTGTAGTTACTCCAACATGGCGTCAAGCTGGTCGGCGAGGTCATCAAACATGCTGCCGATGTCGTCAAGGATGCTAACTGTGGTCTTCTGCTCGGCCACAGAGCTAGAGGCGCACGCACACACACACACACAGACACACACACACACACACACACACACACACACACACACACACAGAACCACAAGTTTATTAACAATAAAAAGCAGAGACTAAAAACAATGATGTAAAGTTAGCTGCCCCTCCCTGAGCCTGAGACTTCCTGTTAAACGTGTGTTTTTCCTTCCCATTGTCGCCAAGTGTTGACTCATAGGGTGTTGTCTGATTGTTGGGTTTTCTCTGTATTACTTTAGGGTCTTTAAATTACAGTAGGCAACTGTTGTTGTGATTTGGTACTGTATAAATCAAACTGAATAGAAAGATGTGGGGCAGTCGTTTTTCAGCGTTGTGTATTTTAATGCAAATCAAGGATAACAATACTGCATATATGCAGCTTTGAGTAATAAGAGCTTCAAATTAACCTTTAAAATTATTTTTGAAGTGAGCAGGTCTTGAGTTCAGACAAAAACAGACTTCTCAGCATCACTTATATCATTATTTATAATGACCCTGTGTCAGCAGGATGTGCCCTTTTTGTCGTGGTGGTCAAGAAACAAAAAAAGAAACATTCTAACACATCAACTTTTTGTTTTTGTTGGGCATCATAAATGTCAACTTGGACGACACACGGTGAAAAAAAAAATTAAAGTGTTGAGAAAAAAACTGTAAATATTCAATTTTAGTTCAATTCAATTTTATTTATACAGCACCAAATTACAACAACCCCAACCTCAAGGCGCCTTACATTGTAAGGTCGACCCTACATTAATACAACAGAGAAAACCCAACAATCATATGACCCCCTATGAG